CAACCAGGAGATGGACATTCAAAATACCAAAAATCGATTGGTACTTTTACATGGAGACTGGGCCATAAAGAATTGCTATCAAGAACAAACGAAATGTCAATATGCAGATCCACATGTTGGAAATTTTGAATATAACCTTGAAAATTATGTGTGACCTTCATATGGCGACTATGGAGAAACAGATTTCTACTGAAAATATTCTGTGTTGTAGTATAAACGATTTTTTACCGAATAAGAATTAAAAAAGTGTAAATACCCCCAAATCGATTGAAAAGCGTTTATATACTCCCAAAAATACACACAATGGCTACAAATCAAGATATTGAGCAATTTCTTCATGTATAATAGGGTGGCCAGCAAAAAAACACTATAACGAATTTTGACCTGTGGCGAATTTTTCCTCCTGGGGTTTTCATATACTCACCAAGGTCTTTCATCCCCAATGTGCATTTTACAATTAAATATTTAGACCCGATGAGAATCGATAAAAATTCTTTTGCAAAACATCTCATGAATTCAAAAGTTGGGGGCTACCTTCACACTTTTGGCAATTTTCATAATTTTTGATAGGCAGATTTTCTAAAATATAAAATTACAACGAATTTGGTTTAAACCCGAGCCAAAAATTTTCAAAATTCCCAATTTCGGATGCTTAAACAGGAGCCCCCCCAAAACAAATATTCAATCGTGAATAAATGTACGAAGAAAAAGGCATGTGCCAAAATGCAGGGCATATAGGTGCATTTTAACAAAAACTGCTGACTATGATAACAAAAACGGAATACAAATTGTTTTTGTCATTTACCTTTTGATCGGCAGCCTAAATTTACAAAAATAAAAAGAACGCGAAGACAATGAAATACAAAACATTTTTTTGTAAACTGTTTACTGTAAACTTGGCAGCGATATTCTTTAAGTTTTAAATGTGGGTGTCGATAGTGTTGACCAAGAAGCCATAGGGGGGCATATTGTGAATGTGACTACTTCAACCACTACACCTGTAATCGTGTCAAGGTTAAGGTAATGAGATTTAATTTTATTGAATAAATTTCAATTGTTGGTGACACTTAATTCGATATTTATTGAGGTTAATTCGACAAAAGATTAAGGCCACTGTGGTAAGGGGAATTTGGTAGAAGTAACAGCATGTGATAGCAGGAGAAATTACAGCGATAGGCATTCTGCCATTTTGTTATAAATATAGAACGGTGTTCAAAATGTAAATAGTGACGATATGAAATGACAATTTGATGTCAAAATATCGACCTATTATTAAAAAATGTATGCGATGTGATCTGTTATATTCTTAGAACCGATAGACTATATCGGATCACATGATATTATAAATATATTTTTTATCGAAATGTTGATATTTATTGAAATTGTTGACCGATGTAATTAATTGCACTGTTTAGATCACAACAGTTGGCCCCTTCGAGAATTATCTTGCACACCTGCCAGCCAGACCAAGGGACAAACTGCAAGTTGTCTGGCATGGATTTGATCTGGAGACACGTGGGATCGAATCCCCAATATATCTGGTATTCCATATTATACAAAAAATCCCCTTTATTATTTGTATCGTATCAAAGAGTTTGACAATTTTAATACTTGTAGTAAAATATACACAATCTCTAATTTTATATTACCCAAAACTAATATCATTATTAGTTAAAAGAAAAAAATTTTCATTTTATTGATGCCGTTGTACCAAAATTTTTCCACACTAAATAATATTCATAATGTGTCACAGAAAATAACAAACCAACTAAATTATATATTTATACTAGCGGGCCCGGCAAACGTTGTCTTGCATAGCAATATTGTTGATGTATTATTCACATAACGATAGGCCAATAATAAGTTAGCTTTTTCTACCCTCCACGATTTGAGATAGTGCTCTGAAATTTGCACATACATTGGTACTACTCCTAGGTTCACTATTTAGGGTAGCCATATAACCGTACCTCGCAATATGAGAAGTTTTGACGATTTTTCAACAGAATGGGTTGTAATTGAACAGAAAATATCCGTACCAAATATTATCAATATTGGCACATATTTCAGAGTACTGCCCATATAACGGTAGCAATAAACATTCCATATTTTGAAGATCTTGGTCACGGTTTACAACAGAATATCTGTACTTAAAATTATCAATATTGGCAAGTATCCAGGTAATCCCTTCATTTAATTTTATATATTGGATGATCATTGAGTAGAAAATGTTCCTTAAAAAATTGTGCAAGCTTCGGGAAAGCCTCCATATAATGGCACTCCACATTTTTGGAGTTTTGGTCACGTTTTTCAACCTAATCAGCTTTAATTGGTTGTTTTATTTGGTAGCATGAACCCTACTTAAAATTGTCAATATTGGTCCACTCCTCTGTATTTTGTTTGAACACGTGTTTCAACCAAATTAGCTGTAATTTTATATTTTAAATGATCAGTGAGTACAAAATCTCCTTACAAAGAATTATCAATATTGATCCAAGTTTCCGGGGAGCACCCATATAATGGTAACCCCAATAATTTCTCATATGCTGTCAAATATTCCTACCAAAAATGTATATATCTCCATTCCCATTGTAGTAGCTAAAATATGTCATTCCGGGATATTGGAGGTGAGACACATTTCTGCGAAAAATTACCTATTTAGGTCCAAGTTTTGATATAGCAATACATACAGGTCTCGCCCCATTTTCAATACATTGACCTAATCTTCTCATAGAGTTGGCTATAATTTGGCATAACATCATCCCAGAAGTTATGCACTATATCTAAAGGTTCTTACTCCCGTTTTCCAATCTGAGTGTTATCGGTAGTTGGCATGTTCAATACGAATAGGTAACATCGGATGGAGGTTTTGGTACAACCATCAAATTAGATATTATGCTATTTTTCTAATTTTGCTGGTTTTTTGTCGGTTGTTCTCTTTACAGCTGAACTTAATGATAGATTTTTGCAAAGGAAATATCTGGTATATTAGTTTTCTCTGTGATACACATTTTTGGTATGGGATATATGCGACGTGGTCTGTTTATAAGTTCAAAGATATTGAAAAACGATTAGGCATTTAACCACCTGATTTCATATTTCCCGTTGCATATCAACATTTCATTTACTTCATTCATATTATTATTTTCAAACATATTAATCTAGGGCATGGATCTTAGAATCCGAATATCCTGAATGGCCACGAACTCGATTCAGAATGTCTTCTGATTTTCCATCCTTGCATTGGTCCCAATATGTACCTGTATTCTATGGAAAACGTGTAAATACAATGATCGCGTGTGCATTCAATAATATACTTCTCAATTATTTGTTGTATTCTCCCAAAAAAATGTTTCAATACAATGTCAATCCAATTTAAAAAAAAAATAAATATTTTGAAAAATTTTAATAAATGACAAATGTAGGCTTAAAGGCATTATACTCTACCAATTTTCGCTCAAAATACCTCAAAATAACAACTACGACGTGGTGCTTTCCATATAGCTCGATACTAAATTCGCAGAAATGCAAATATGCTTCAAAATATTTTTTGCAAATTTTTCGCGATTTTCAAATTTTTCTCACCTTTTAAACCTTCCCTGAAGATTCACGAACACTTCAACATTCAACATTGCCGCCCCGGCAAACGTTGTCTTGCATAGCAATATTGTTGATGTATAATTCACATAACGATAGCCCAATATTAAATTATCTTTAAGATAGTGCTCTGAAATTGCGGTATTGGTATTGGTGAGGCACCCAACCATTGAGCTTATTTTTGAATCCAGCTTTGTGTGAATGGTTTAATTTTTAGCTCCTGGACGATGTTACGACATGCCTGTAAAATTCGATCGTTCCACCGGTCTAATGGATTTCTTTTTCCCAAACCTAATATTAGGGATACTTATTGGGCAGAAATTCTCCCTAATTAGAATTTTCCATATTGACTCAAGTATTCGGATATCCCCATCTAACGGCATCCCTTAATATTCGGTATTTGGCTGCCATGTTATGTTCGCCCAAGGTTTCAAATATCCCCCATGTAATAGTAATCCACCTTTTTCGATACTGTGTTCCTATTATTATTATTTTCAAGAAGAATAATCTAGGGCACGTGTCTTAGAATCAGAACTCTTTCTGAATCTTCAGATTTTCATCCTTGCATTTTTTCCAAAATGTACGTGAATTTTATGGAAAACGTGTACATACAATGATCGCGAATTCATCTCAATTATTGTTTTGCATTCTCAGAAAAAAAGTTTCGTTACAATGCCAATTGAATAAAATAAAATATTTTGAAAAATTTCAATATTTGACAAATGAATATTTATTTTTTCATAACATTGTTTTTCATAATATTTTTTTTCATAATATTTTTTCTTTTTTGCAAATTTTTCGCGATTTTTAAATTTTCCTCACCTTTTAAACCTTCCCTGAAGCTCTACGAATATTTTAAGACTAAGATAAGAAAAATCCGTTCAGCCGTTCTCGAGTTTTAGCGAGACTAACGAACAGCAATTCATTTTTATATATATAGATAGATAAGTCTGCAACAAAACCCAAAAAACTTTGTTTGTTGTCTACCCTTTTCAATACCTCCACAACTATCTGTGGTTATCCGACTCACATATTCAGTGTGTGTGTGTTTTATATTCTCACAGGTTTTGACCTCTTGACTTTTTGTCATTTCGATTCATTGGGTCATGTGTCAGGCTAAAATAAAAGTTCACATGCAATTGGCAATCGCTTCATTCATGGTGTGTAGGAAGATAACAACCATACGCTTGTATATATGTACATATAATATTTCTTACACAACTTGAAATATGAAAGTTCAAAAGCTTAAATATATAACATTCTGTCATCCAGTAAATCTCTATAATTGCCATTAATTTAATAAACAAAACATTATTTCACATTTATCTTTTTTCATCTGAGTTCTTGAATTTTAATTGCCCTTTCTCTTTCTCGTTTTTTTTTGCATTTTTTGCTTTTCATTCCAGAATCCGCTATTGATAGCTCGGTGAATGACCTAAGTTCTGAATCAGCCACTGCCAAAACTAGCTGCCAGCTACAACAACAAAATCCCCAACCACTGCAACTGCAACATCCACAATCGGAACAACAACAACAATCACTACTTAAGAAGCAACAAAATTTCAAACGTTACCAAGGACATCATCCGCACTTCCATCATCACACTGCACCCGCATACTATACCGATCTACATTTACGTATCCATACGCCGGAAGTCAAGGATTCTCTGAATGAGAATTATCAAAGTGTCTATAGGACACCCTCGAAATTGGTAAAGGACGAACGGCAATTTCCCAAAACGGCCACAGCCACAGTAGCACCGCCCATTATCCAATCACCGAAATCGCCCACAGCTATAGCACCAAAGGACGTGACCAGTGCCGAACAACAGGAAGGTAACTCCACAACATCTGGGGCTTCGTTTTTTCGTGGGGCTGGTTCCGGTCTTCCAAGGGAGGAACCGCAGCCAAAAAGTGTCAACGATCCGTACGGGAACTCATCACCAAATTTGGCGAACCCTGCAAAAGGTAATATTCCCTATGATCTTCCCCCGGTCGCTAATGCCGATGGTAGTGTAGTTTTTGCTTGTACCAATTTTAAGCCCTGTAACAGCAGCAAGGCAACGGAATTCGCTCCCCAGCCTTCTGCTGGCTCTCCGCGAAATTCACCTGCCACTGCCGGAACACGTAGTAGTCGAAGCACGCAGCGTTTTAGTAACCGCCGGAGGGCAGTGCGTGTGCGCAGTGAATCACGACCAATTAGCGCTCTCTATGACATAATATGCAAAGAAAAGGGTCTAGACATCGGCAGTTCATCATCAAACGAAGACGAATTTTCTGCACCCAATAGTCACGACGAACGTCAACGATCTCGACGATCGCATTCAAGATCGTTGAGCAAACAAACAAAGGCGGCCAGTAGCACAAACGTCATGATGTCTCCGGGCGGGGAGACAAGTCAAACCCGTGTGATGAGCCAGAAAAAACGCTCCAAGGACAAGCGTTCCTCATCGTCCATCTTTATCAATGATCTTAGTGACAACGAGTATGACGATAGTAGTCTCCTCCTGCAAGTCGAGGATGATGCCAACATGGCATTGCATCGCAATCACAAGAAATCCCATCTACCAATGATGGATTCTCAGACCAAGTCTTCTTCTTTGCCACCAGGTCTAAAAAGTCTTTCGGATTATAGTTTGAATATTGAAAATCACAATAACAAAAATAATCATCAAACGCATCGTCATCATCATCACCAACAAAAACAACAACAACATCAACAACCACCACAACCTCCCTCCAGTAAAGTATCTCAAGACTCCTTAAAGACTCTTCAAACCAGTAGTGCTAGTGATAATGTACTTAATGCTAATCATTCATCATTATCTTCATCATCCACGAAACCGATTCCGCCTTCTGTGGCCCAGCCAATGGCGGGAGCAGGTGCTGGCACCTCTACAGCAGCAATCATTTCGCCCAAAGCCGAACGTTCATCACGTAAATATAGACGTTCACGCGATGAGAAACCGCGCCGTCATACCGATGGTGCTGTCCAACTTTTAACAGCCGAACAGGAACTGAAGGAGAAGGAGCTCGAGCGGCATCAGGAATACCAACAATACCCGCATCATCATCATCTGCCACCTCATCCTCATCAGTGTGATGATCACAACGATGATGATGTTGTTGTTGCTGCTGATCAAACGCATCGTCATCACCACCACCATCGCCATAATCCTCCTCATCCTGAGCATTCTCATGCATCAGAGCCGCAACAACAGCAGCAGCAGCCACAGCATTCATATCATCATGATTTAAATGGTGCCGGTCACGATTTTCATGTATCCGCTAATGCTGCAAATGCTAAGAGGTAGGTAGTGGTGTTGGAGACTTAAGTTGCACATTTGTTTTGCTTGCCTCCAATTTGTGTGTTTATTTAAAACCTGCCATTCGTCGTTCCATCCGCATCAGCATCACCAACAGCGTCTTGGCTGTCATCGCCGTCGTCGCCGTCTTCGTCATGCTTATGACCAAAACCAATGTCAGTGGCATTGGCCATGGTTAGTTTTGCAAATTACACAAAATTGCGGCAAATATTTTTAATAAGCCCTGTACTCCATGGGGAAAATTTTACAGTTTACCTTGTGCAATATACAATTGGTTATCCTTGAACTTGTTCGATTGGAAAAGTTTCTGAGAGTTTTATAGATTGGAAGTGTAATAGACTAATGGAAGTATTGCAAAGTGTTTAATGAAACGCATACGAGGGTTGCTATATATATATATTTAGAGATAAGATATAATGTTTGGTATTGCGAATGGTATATATTTGAGCTACACGATTTTGTGTAGCTCCAATATAAGGATACCGCACATGTTCTGTATTTTTTCCAATACACCGAATTGCCAGTCACTTTACATTAATAGGTCTTGGTGGGGGAGAAACATCGTTACAGAAAACTGTTGGTATAATTCCAAGTTTATCATAGTCCAATATTAAGGGCTTGACCAATATTCGGTATTTTTAAGATTTTAGACGTATTTTTCAACAAAGATTTGATATTTGAAAAAATATGTATATAGGCCAATTTTATGACATAGCCAAATAAAGGTCCCTCCCCATTTCCGGTATTTAAGGGTTTTAACCATATTTTTCATCACAAGTGGTTGTAAAATACTACTTTCTTGGAGGTTGCTCAAAATATTTTTTGAAGGTCCAAATTTTAGCATAGCCGTCATATAGAAGTTCTGACCCATTTTCGGTATTTTGAAAGTTTTAGCCGCATTTTCCGCCGTATTAGCTGTAATTTGGCATCCCGTATTTTGAAAAATGATTCGAATAGGTTCGTGTTTTGGAATAATTCTCATATGGAAGTCCCGTTCCACTTTCGGTATATCAAATGTTTTAGATGCATTCCGGACCAAATTGGCGGTAATTTAAAATTTCTAGTTTAAGTAGACTATGCAGAAAAGTTGCACCGAAAAATACGTTTTCGGTACATTTAATGTTGTTGTTGCAAACATGTTGGCTGTAGGCGAAAGTTCTTTCCTGAAAATATTGGTAGAAAAAAATAGAACTCAGAAATGGAAAATATTAATTAGGAATTATAATTTAATTTTTGATTCCGGAAACAATGCGCTCTCGAAATGAGAACATTGCTGTACCTGGGTCTTAGTTGTGCACAGAATCGAACTAGTTTTCCTAGTCTCTCACTGTCCGAAATTTCTGGAAGATATTGGACTTTCTTGCATCTGTAACCATTTATGGCTTCGGAGATCACCAATTAATGTATGGATTTCATCGCTATTGAAAATCTGTCGATATTCGGTGAAATGACGCTATGGATGCCTTCGTGACGGATTTGCCGCGGAGGCCCCTGTGATCACGGTGTGAAGGTTTGGAAGATACGACAGATGGGATGCCAACATGAACTGTCTACTCAACAACACAATGTGATGTTTGAGGATAGCATCCTGGTCTCATCACGGAGGTGACGCTTGTCATCTGGGCACAGCCGGTTGCAATTTGTGGTGCAATGTTTTGTGTAGTTGCAAGGACCTCCATTGTATGTTGCTATCGAAAAAAGTCCAGACTGGGAGAACATAATTCGTACCCATGACCTCGTATGTCGTTACCAACGTTTCTCCATTCTTACCCCAAGAGATACCAGCCAAAGCTTTCAGAACTTTGTTCCTAGCTTTCACCTTTTGGTTGACGTATTTGGAATGCGAGGAGAAATGAAGGAGGTTATCAAAGACAATCCCTAGGATTTCGGATTATGAATGGTGGGGATGCACCTTTCTTCGATGAAAATGTCAGATAATACAAAAACCACCCACTTCAGACTTGGGTGGTTTTTGTATTACCTGATCGACAGAATCTGTATGACTTCTATTCAGACATGCCTCATACGTCTTTTTATCTACAGGTTCACTCCGCCCGAAGAATTGAACTATTGAACCTTTTAACCTCTCCCTCTCTCTAAATCATAAAGATGTTTCCTGGCGTTCTTAGGCACGGCAATATTGACCATAAGGCTATGGTAGTGATGTTTTCAACTGTAACTTTATGGACGAATATGAGTTTATGGACGAATATGATCTGCGTCTCTCACGAGGAAAGTCTATTGGTGTCATATGGAACATTCTGTTGCAGTTCTCAGAGCGCAACCTTTGGGCCTATCTATAGATCATGAAGGTCTCTCTTGATGTTCCTGGGTTAAGGAGACTCCCAGTTGTAGTTCTCAGGGCGGCACTTTTGGACCTCTATAGATCGAGAAGATCTCTCCTGACGTTTCTAAGCGGGGAAAGTTTGTCCATAAGGTTATGTCAGGGTTGTTTCCGACTATAACACTGCATCGACTACATGTGTATGCAGGTCTAAATTTTCTTCTACTACACATGACTTACAATCGCAAACCACACTGGCTCCTCATAGCTTACCACTGATCGGTCTAGAGCTTTTTAAGAAATCAACAAGGTATAGTGCCAGGTGTTAGCCAACTACTTGTGGACCTTGTTCCTATTTCTTATCTTCTTGATAACTGCATTGGGTTGCTCAGACAACTTGAAGAAGATGACGAACGGAGAAAAAGAACAACTGTATAAAAGTTTAACATCTCACATTTGTTATCGAAAATTGGATCAGTCGCCATGCTCGTACAATCATTCCTATACATTACGATCTTAATTCCGCCCGATAGTTGTGGAATATCAAAAAGTAGAGGTTAACATATGTACGCAGATGTCAATCCTCCTTATGTGAATGCCTCATGGGACTGATGTTCTCACATATAGTTCCATTTGTAACTCAGGATCGAAATTTATTTCATAATTCATTAATAATATTATTTGTAATGTTTTATTCCCACAAAATCCAAGCCTACGACATTCTTTAAAAGAACGCCCTTATTTCAATAAATCGCATAAAAAAGTAGGAGGAATAACAAAAGAAAAATTAGAAATCATATTTATGCAAACTTATTGCCATACGTTTTTTTGACATTTATCTTTGACAAACATGACAATTTTTTACTTCTGCATTACAACTTGTAATCTTAACTTAACGCGCCTAAAACGCTTTGTGGGTATCAGTAATTTATTACCAAGTAGTTTTCGTTTCTTCTCTACTTTTGTCACTTTCCTTTTCTACACATTTGCTTCCATGTTATTTATTTGTATTGCAATTAATATTTTTTATTAAGTATTTTCATTTTATTTTTTTATTTACATATATCTATTTTATTTATACTGGACCCCCCTCCTATTCATGATGTTGTTGTCTGCATGTCTGCCAGTGTTCGTCCCATGATCATATTTTTTATGCCGGCCGGTAGTTGTTTGGTGTTCCTCGGCCTAACGTTTAACACCAAAAACCCAAGTGGCATCACATACGAACGCACACTCACTCGCGCACACACGTACCTCTGTCACGGCAATATTTATGAGCTTACCTCAATCACACTTTCTTCCATTCAATCAATTGATGATGACGACGATGATGGCCAAGCTGAATGACTGACTTTCTCAAAGAAAACAACGAACATTTTTTTTGTGGTTTACAACCGCTCATGGCGAATCCGCTTCACTTTCAGTCTTTACGCAATTTGTTGACGTTTTCCATAGCTAAACCCCCTACCAAACAAATCAAATATTAGCTCACATGCTGCAGCTCACCGCGCAACACTACTGCCACCGGCTAATAGCGTCGAAAATAATCTGTGCACGCTTCACTACTTTTTTCAAATCCCAGGAAAGACAAATTAAGGTGCAACCAACCAACCAACCAGCCAAACAACAAACCAAGACAGTCAATCAATCCAACATTTATTCGTCTTTGCTGAAATGGGGAACTTCATATCTACGATATCATAGAGAGACAAACGTACATACATGGCAATAACGACATCATTAATTGTCGACTTACGTATCATAAACTTTATTAACATCATTTATATGCAAAATTAATAGTTTCTCAACGCATGCACTTGCATTGCAACAAGTAAACGGAACGGAGTTGCAGCTGGAGGTTGGGAGCAGAGTAAATGCTATATGGGAGGGTATTACTTGCGGAGGGATTTTCGAATGTTTTCTCGATGAATGGGGAATTTTATTTTCAAAGTCTTCCATGGGGGTTAGCTTATTTTCTATGGAATGCCTACGATAGGTCAACTATGGACAGAGGGGTTTGTATAGATTTTCTATGGACTTAAGGGAACCCCCCCCCCATTCTCGATTTTAATTTTTCAAGATTTTCAATGGGCTGGCAAATCAATACCAATGCTTGTTAAGGCTTGTAACTTTACACATATATAGTTGAAGATTTAAAATAGAAGAAAAATAATTTACAAAAATTTTTTGTTTTGTTGATGGCGGGCATGATAACTCCTCACTGGAACATCGGAATCCGAAAATTCCAACGGTGTTGAAAGAGTACATGTCTGGCTCTCGTATGAATTAGGATTATTGACTTCGCTCTAAAATTAACAAAATGGTGGAGATTTGAAAAAAATATTTTTGGAAAATCGCCAAGTTAAAAAATAAGGAAGATCTTCACCGATTGGATTTATCCTAGTTCATACGATAGCTATACACTCACAGAGAAACCTGTAAAAATTT